TTCATGGGTTCATGGGTTCATGGGTTCATGGGTTCATGGGTTCATGGGTTCATGGGTTTGGGGTTTGTTTGTTTTTGTGTCGGAGGTTTTGGGTTCGGGTGTTGGAGGTTTTGGGTTTGGGTGTTGGAGGTTGAGGTTTCCGACGGGATGTGTTTGCAAAGTTTTATTGCTCTTAATATTGAATCATCCTCGTCTTGTTCCTTCATCTCCGCGTTTCCGCTGCAAGTACTTCATCCATGACCCCTGCTCACGGTCACGTCCCTCGTGAACATCCAGCGCACCACGCGCTGGGCCTCCTCCCAAAACTCCAGCGAAGAAGTTAAATTTCCTGTTCTCTCTTGGCCCACGGTTGTGGTCAAAGAATACATTCCTGCGCACGTTTCTCTCCGACGAGAGGTTGTTCTCTTTAAGCATGAAGCTCTGTTGAGGTGCGGGTGCTATAATTAACGTGTATACAATCTGATGTGTCAATGTTGATCTGGTAGGAGTCACAGTTTCAAATATCCATTTTCTGGAAGAAATTTTCAGGGAGTGACAGATCCAAGCATGAAACACGAGTAGCACACACCGCGATCACAGGTTCATCTAGCACCCAGAAGAATCTGTTTCAAAAATGAAAGACTAGAAGAAGGTGCTGATGACCTTTGCTATTCGACCTTGATTGAGAAGATTCAGTTGATCTTGAGAGTTGTTGTATCCTGCTTCAGTGAAGATGATGCGTTATCAAGAGAAGCGGCTTGAAGTGCTGTCTGTTGGAGGTCTATGTCTTCTGTTGTGCGCCGCACGAGTCAGGGAGTCACGCCGTCCGAAGGAAACAGAGCTTGAGGCCTTGTGGCGTGTTTCTTCTCGCCCTCCCTCGGCGGGTTCCTTCTGGCTGTGCGAGTTCTAAGCCTTGAGATGGGCAAACCCTGAGAGGGGCAAACCTTAGGAGAGACAAACCGTGAGAGGAGCAAACCCCGAGAGGGGCAAACCCTGAGAGGGGCAAACCTTGAGAGAGGCAAACCCCAAGAGGGGCAAACCCTGAGGACGCTTAGGGGGGTCTACCCTGACGCGCTCACTGTTAGCAAAAAGGAGAGCGCAAAAAGCTCAAAGCCCTGAGTGCTGAAACCCTGTAGGAAAAACTAAGGAGGTAAACCTTGAGGCCAAAACTCTGACATTTTTCCGCAGTTTGGTCTACCCGCCTGAGACGCAAAACCCTGAGAAAGGTACACAGCCCTGCCGCTTTTTTGGCACGCGTGCACTGTCCTCTGCAACTTCGCGCTTGCCCCACAAACTCCGCAGAAGGATTCTATTCGACACCCCTTAAAGCCCTGACTTTAATAGACCTCGACTTTTGCCGATTGTTATATCAGAGAAATTCAAATTTATCCATATCCTCTGCAGCTGTAAGCAAATCCCATATTGTGAGCCAGCCCAGAAATTAATTTGGTTTCCACCAGTACTAGGTATTCCTTCGCGTTGGTTGCTCATCACTTAAATTTTTGATCCTGTGATTGATCATGAAATCACAACTCGCTTTGACAACAGCGACATTCTGAGTATCGCCATACCAGATGTGGGCCTCTCGTCTGTTGCATCTTTCCAAGCAAGAAAATACGCTGCAAGTTGCATTCATTCTCATTGCGACCTTAGTTTGTATTTGATTTTTGGGATTTCGAACGAGGAGTTGCATCACCAAAACCATTACCAAGGTGAGAGGGAACCATTCCCAAGATCAGACGAATAGGATGAAGACGAGTATAGTACTTTTCCCGAGGAAGCTGTACTTCTGCTGGGAATTATAGACGATCTCCAACTTCGCATTGCACTCGTTTCCGCAAGTGCGGCGACTACTTCTACTACGACTACTACTCCGCCAGAGCCAAAGGATTTTTGGGTCCCCGGACTAAGGAACAACGGACCTCACATTTACTACACATATCCTGCTCAGCAGGGTGTGGATGAACGCTACGGAGTACTGTGTCCACACACGCGCGAGCACCTCGAGACGCTGGCTACAATTGCTAACGCGGCCGGGACAATACACACGTATCCCACTGACGGGGAAAAAGACACAAGAAAATTGAGGCTCTTAGGCTTAGCGCTATTTCATCATTATCCAAATCCAAATCCAAATGGCCAGAATCTTTTTCTGAAATCTCCAAATGCAGCAAATCCAAATCCCCGTGATGTGCGAGCGCGGCTTATTTTTTTTATCGTGATGGTTACAATACAGATCTTTACCGCTAATCACCCTCCCCATCCACCTCCACGCTTAGCCCTTAGCGTACTCGTTAAGATTAGGAAAGACGGTAGCAGGGGTGGCCATAAGCTGTGCTTCGATCTAGGCTCTCGTCATTATTATCGTGATGGTTCGGAAGTCGTTCGTGGTGCCTATTTGCAAGTATCGTGAAGAGTGCTGGATATTAACCCACGAAGTGCAAGTACAGTCCAAGTAGGGACAGCTACTTACTCAGGGGTGGACAATAAGGCGGTAAAAAGAAATGAGCTTTTAGACTGGAGGTTTAAAAGCCGGTCATAATCAGAGACCAACATATAAATCGGTAAACAATCTTCATCCATCGGTTTATGGGCCTGGATTGAAAAGACCCTGTTCAAGATCCAGCTTTTTTCTTATTCCTTTCTTCTTCTCTTCTTTCATTCCTTGTATGTCCTGTTTGGACCTCTTGTTTCTGCTCCTCGGAGCCATTCGCCCCAACTTTGGTGGTTTTGTCAGCACTGCGATGAGGTTTTCCTCTCTCATTTCCCCAGAACCTGGTCGAGATTCTTCGTCGAGTGGAAATAAGCTGTCGTCAGCCAATTGGGTTTGACTTATGGCTCCTTGGAGTTTCTTTGATCTTGTTTTGCTTTTGCGCGCTCTCTTCTTCGTTGATCGCTGCTTGCGCCGCTTTGGCTCGTTTCTGCTTACCGATTCTCCGTTCCTGGCTCGGTTAGTGCGTGCGCTTGCCGTGTTCTTCGAGCCAATAGCTGCTTTAACCTTTCGGATTGTGCTTGATGGACAAAACGGCGATCAAAATCTTCGTGCAAAAGTGTCCTACTTTTCGTTCTCCCCACCTTGTGAAATTATTAAACCCACCATTTATAACGCAGTCTCCTGATTATGAATTATCAGGAGCTCTCCCTACAACTATCACTCAGCCGTGGATAATGAGACAAGTATATTATCGGCACCTCCTCTAAGAAAAGAGGAGCTAACGACTGCGCTCACAGAATTTCGAGGAAACTTTACCAAGTATGTTCCGTTTTTGCGTGGAAAGCAGTGGAGTTACCTGGATATCCCGCAAATTAAAGCTAAGGCTTGCCGCGCTAATCTACTTACTGACATATCATCTCTTGTCTACTTCTACGTGGCTGTGTGGTTTGTCCCCGGCTCGAGTAGCCGTTAGATATACAAGTGAAAACCACCAGGACTGCGGTAGAAGAGAGAGGGATTTTTTTTATGGCTAGCTCTAACAAAGTCGCGGACGCGTTGACCAATCCGACAACGAAACCGCAGACTGGGGAGCAGCAATCAACAGAGCTGACTGACTACGTTTTCATCTACGAGAGTTCCGAGTTACAGCCACCACTTCTTACTGAGTCAGGACGTCGAACACAAAGACTAATCTCTATGATGGATGTTGCTACCGACGTAGTAGGAGATTGGTTATCGTGGAGGGGAGGAGCACAGTGGGATCTTCGGAATCCACAGAAAGACTTCGAGCCAAACGATAACGCGCCAATCTCTCTGATTTTGGCTTGGCGACACATCCAGCATGGAACACATGATTTACATACTCCGAGATGAATCTTCGCGGGTGGCGTATCTCTTGCAGATGGGTACTTAATTTCATATGCTGAGCTGATGATCCAGCACTCGCTCTTCTGTGTGATGATGGTAATCAAGAATGCATCACCAGGTACCAAAAAAAATGAGGGTCCGTCAGCCGTGGAGATGGATGAATCCGAATGGAATAGACGCTGGCGGAGTCAGAGATCAAGTTTGTTACATATCACATGGGATGCTTAACTACGAAATCGCAAGGCACAAACACACCTAGAACTAGCAGGCGTGTATCTGTGATTAGTTGTAGATAGCTCGAATTGTTAGGAGGTAAGAAGCGCCGCAATGTGTTCCGCTTCGATTTCCTGGCAATCTTCATTATATATGAGTGAGGGATCACCACGATCAGCTCAACAACTGACACCGCTCGAGTCAAGAAAGTGATGAAAGCCTAGCACACCTGACAGAACTGTTAAGAAAAACTTGGGAGACAAAGAGGGATCTCATCCTCTTCCTCATGTGCTCTGTTGGAATGTCATTGGTACTTCTGTTGTCCGCGAGTGCGACGCGAGAGAGACACTATGTATCTGTCGGTCTAAAAAGTCTGTGTCTTCTGTCCAGCACACAAGAGTTGGAGAGCCTGAGGTGAGAAGCTCTCTGTATAGCGTACCATTTTCTCGAGTACAATCTGTTCGATGCTAGAAAAACTCTGTTGTCGAGCGAGCACCACTTTACCTTGAAGATCCACCGTGCTTTTATTATCCAATTTTATCATGGATGCAAGGGGTTGGAAATTTTTTAAGAGTGGAGGTAAGAGTGGGTGAGGAAAAGACCGCTGATAATCTTGACCACGCATATTTCATCTACATTCATCATCCTCATCATCCAACTACCATCTTGTCCAGCAGATCCATCCACGCCGATCTGTGCACTTTCTCTTTTTTTTTCCGTATGCCTGACCCCAGAGGCAGACGAGTTCCTTCATGTCCTATCATCATCATCGTCATCTCATCATCTAAGTGGAGCCATCACTTTCGTGCCAAACAAGAACTTCCCAGCTTAACTCAACATCAGTTTTTTTTGCTAATTCCAAATCAGTATCACTGTTCTGATCCGATGTTGAATAGCAACATATAGTGAGTTATGAGTTGTATACTCGCTCGCAAAGGAGTTGTGTGCTAGGTATCTTTTGATCTCCACGTATAAGTACTTATATAAAAAGGTCGGTGGAGTATCCACTTCTATTTTTATTTCATCTGTCTAGTCACAGTCTACTCTATGGGTACGGGTATGGTGAAGATATCATTGGAGCTGGAGGCGCGAGGACATCCTTGCATCGCACAAGGCTAAGAGATATTTTCTGGATTGTGTATCTTTGGTGGTGCGCGGCGTCGACAAGCTCGATAAGGGACGAGGAGCAGTATTGCATCCATCTGAAGTATGTTGGTAAGAAACAGGCGGCTGCGCTGGCAACCTGTTGCAGCCAAGAAAATCATCATGTCAACGAATTCACCAGAAAACCCGTGGATGGAGCCAAATTCTTGCGGTACTCGGACGAGCATAAGAGGTCCTTGTCGAGTTAGAAGAACTACAATACGCAGTGATTGGTGCCCGAGTACAGCTGCTGCACTTCTGCTTCTAGGACCACTAGCGGGCAATATCAGCGTCGTCGGTGTTTCTGGTAGTGTACCAGATCCCATCGTCGATATTTGGATACCGAAAGCGCGGAGTGACGATACTTATCCTTCACAGAGGGCTGTGGGCGAACGCTACGCATCATTGTGTCCCGAAGTGCGTACGACCCTTGAGACGGTTGGGACACTGGTTGCCAACAAGGGCCAGAGCGTGGATTGGGCCACTGATAATGATCCGCAAAAAATAAAAGAACTAAAGGACGCACTGAAACTGTTTGAAGGAAACTTCACCCGATATGTTCCGTTTCTGCGTGGAGAGGAGTGGAAAAGTGACAAGTACGTACAGGTGGAACACGCGGACGATAAGAAGGGGGTGGCGGTGAAACCTACGCTTAGAAAAAATGACAATAATCAATTGCTGGGGCTGAGCAATGCTGATTTTGTGAAATACGCAGAAGGAAAAGAACAGCCAAGTCTCGCCACTGATGATGGTAGACCGTTAGAGAAACGAGCAATCACGTTTCTAGACGTTGCTGCGGACGCACTGGGGAATTGGCTAGTAGATCCCACTGTTAAGGCTTCTCTCGATAACTCATTTTCTCAGCAAAGGGATAAAAATTACTCCCTCAGTTTTCTAAGTAGAACGAGAAACCTGAGACAAATATCCACGTAGATAATGACTTGTTATCTCGACAGCTCTAATACAGGCGCGCCTAGTACTTGGGGTCTGAGAACTCACGAACCAGATTTCGAACCCGAAGTTGCTGACGCACCCACGTCCTTAGTACTCGGATGGAAATACTACATCGACGATACAAACGGTTACAAGAAAAGTGCCGTGGCGCGATTGGCCTATCTCCTGCAGCAGTGTATTCCTCCTCGTTTTGTATGAAGTCTTGACTTTCCATTTTTACTGGTTGAGAAAGTCAACTTTTTCGATCTCTGTTATTGTCTGGAAGTGGAAAATTAGACCAGGACTTTTCTCGTTGTGGTTGTACAACCTTTAGATGCCGCCACTGGCAAGGCCTGGCGCACTCCCTTACACCCCCACCCTGGCCTTCGAAGCCGTCGATATCCGCAGAGAAGCAGCTGCCAAGGCTATCCGGCCGGCCGCGCATGGTGGCAACATCTGGCCCAAAGGTCGGAGCCAACCAAGGGGCACCCCTGGCAAGTACTTTTTGGCAAAAAAATCGCGACAAAAATGGAGCGCATTTTGCGCCCCATTTTTGAAAATAATACGTCGACACGTTTTGCGAGAACCGAAACGGTCCCACCTACTGGGGCCTAGGGGTCTGCCTTAAGGCGACACTTTTAGGGCCAAAAGTGTCGCCAAATGACCCGCCTCGTTCGAGGGGTGAAAGTGTGCCCTTTTTGACACGCCTCCGAAGCGACTCCGACCGGAGCCACTTAAGGGAGGCGGCTCCTCTGGTGACGCCTATAGAGTCCACGTTTCGCCACCCCATGGAAGGGGGTCCCGCTTAGCGGGTCCACTGCAAAACTAGCGGAGTGCCGACGCCGGTCCATAGAGGGCGGGGCCTCCTTAGGCTACTCAAAAACAAAAAATAGAATTTGGTTGCTCAACGAGAAAAGTCCTGGTCTATGAAAAGGAAAGGTCTCTGCCTGTCGGAGCGACATGAAAATGAATGAGATCAGAGACCCATGAAACTGATCCAAGTAAATCAATCCAATGATCTTTGTCGTTGTCAGCGCCTTACTTTTATAAATATTGTTATCATGCATATGTAGTTTCGACGTCAAGGTCGAACTCGAGTCATCAAATGTTATTGGTGATGCTTGCATTCTCATTCCAGATTCTGTTGACGGGCTCCAGCGACCAGACGTGTTAAACTGTACGCAAACGACATCCACAACGAGTACCACTACGACCACACCCTCAGCGGCTGTTCAAGAGGAGGAGGACGAGGGTCTTAGTACCTTTAAGGCTCACAACAATTCATCTTCAGAAGCATCTTTACCCCCTCTGCTAAAGGGAAAACACGCCAAAGATGCACTTAAAGACGAATATATGTGAGGTCTAATGCCTGGGCTATAGTTGCAATCGTCGTTGGAAGCGTGGCTGCTGCTTTGCTTATGGAAAATTTTGGTGTTCAGTACATAAATCAAATGCAGTAGTCTGTCATGTTTTTTATGTAGTGTCTCTTCACTTTTCATCATCGTTTTCCTTGTTCGACATGTCTATTCTACTTCTAGTTCTTGTTGCACCGTAGAGGTTGTTTATACTCTTCATGAGTAGACGTCGTGGACTGCTCTTCTCTAATCACTTGCTTGGCTGCGTCGTTTATTCGTATTGCTGCAGGACTCAGAGGGGGTGGGGTGGAGCTAGCGGCTACTACGGCGAGGCGGGAACAGGTTATGACGCATACGGAAACTACTACCAGGGTGGAGCACAGTGGACCAGCCCCGTACCAGGAGGTACGTGTTTCTCTTTTTGTCCCATATATTATGATTTTCTCCGTCTCGATCTCGTAGTCGTCGTGCTCATACTCCTGACAATAAACAGAACGACCGACTTTGTCTTTGACTTACTCTTTTGCTTTTCTCTAATGAAAACACATCAAGATCAAACTCCTAGAATTAGCACTGCTCCTTAGCTCTGCTTCTGGAGTCTTTTTGAAGCAGGACCCCTCTGGTATCATCGTACTTAACCCTCGCAGGTGCGCCATACTATTATGGATACGGAAAGGGAAAAGGCCCCGAGAGTGGGTATGGTGGTCCAGCACCAATGGTTCCGCGTAAAGGAAAGATGGGCATGGGCGGCAAAGGGACGAAGTATTTTCCTTGCATTTTTTAGCATGAAGATACGATGATAAGTATTTCTTTTTTTTCTCTGACATTCAGCACTTTCACTTGAAGATTCAAGAGAAATATAGGCTGGGATCCGTAGTAGTGGTAGTCGTTCGGCCATAATGAAAAATATGTTTGCATTGGAAAATGTTGGCGTTGTCGTCATGGTCGTTGGAAAGCGCTTTTTTGAAGTCGGAACTTCTGAATCAAAAACCTGCAGCTCGTTGAGTTATTGATGATCGACGAGTCCTTACATCATCTACTTCAACTTTATTCTGTCATCAGGGCAATGGGAAAGCCGCCGGCACAACTGACGTCGAATCCGCTGCTGATAGGTAAGGCACCAGCGGGATCTACTGTGAAGATGAAGTATAGCACGGCAAAAAGCCTTTGGAGCGGTAAAAAAGGTAAGAAGTCAATGGAGGAGACTTTGGGCAACGTTCAGCAAAAAGGCTTTCACCAAGTGCGAGCGTGAAAAGGAAGATCAGTAGAACTTCTAACTCAAGACTTGTCGTGGTGTAAGTAGATGTGCGTCGCAGTAGGGCGACCGTCGATGATGCATTTTTAGGATGCGGACGTGTTGAAGAGATGCGACGTATGATCATCACTGCCCTGGAGATTACACTGCACACGTGGATAAGATGTTAGCTATAAAATAAAAAGGGTATAATTGATGTTATATATAGTTATGGTTGAACTATTTTAATTAAGTGCATAGCGTTATTTTTGTGGTTATACGAAAATGCCACTTCACATTTGCTATTCTACCCAGTAGATCAAACGTGAGCCTCCGCACCCGGGAATACTATTTATTATGCTGTCTTGCTCATGTTCATGATCTACAACTACATTTATGTTTTCTTGTATGACAATCACTACTTAGTACTTAGACTTACAAACTGAAATTATATTTTTCATAGAAAGACGAGAGGGAGACCACGAGACTGAGGTTTAGTCTTGTCAAACACCTAGGCGTACGTCTTCACCAGGAGAAGTTTGATGGGCACATAGTTACTAAGCAGAACATTTTGAGTTGTTCAATTACCAGATTATTGACATTGTGCACGCGCAAATATTAAGATGTTGATCCACCTGATCCTGGCTGAAGTCGGGTATTTATTTTCATATCGCAGTGATGTAGCAACTAAGACTTTGTCTGCGGAACAAAAGCATCAATTTCCTGTGTTCAAAGAGGCTCTGAAATGCTGGGTTGTAATCGGAGATCACACTCAGAGCTCGTACATCAAAACGAAATCTTAGAGTGTCCTCCCTACGAGTTCTTTTTTCAAGCTTCCGAGAATGTATTTATTGAGGAGCTTCGTTCTCCCGCATGGGCATGCTCTTACTTTGCTCTACGAGCATGGAGGTGTAAAAAAGATTATGACCACAACATTCGCACAATCAAGCAGATTCTCAAGCTCGTTGGTCAGTTAAGAATGCCAGATTCTTATTTTCAGTATTCAAGTTGGTGGATGTGGAATCTCCATGAATTAGATGCATGGGCGGGCGTGTTCAAGAAAAGACAGAAGAAGGGCGGCCGGATTGAAGATAGGCAGGTGTAAAGAGAAGCCGTAGATTTTGAGTGGTGGGCTGTTCCAATGAATATGGGCTCCTCGACTCGCATACACCACCTGAGGTTGAACAAGTCAAAAGAAGGATCATCTTCGAGGGCAGTTACTGATACATACTCTATTTTTTTAATTTTAAGGAGCACATGCAGACATCAACTAGGATCAACACCACGGCGATATCGATCATATACAACATCGAGCGAAATTTCTTCTCACATATGTTCGCGATTTTGAAAAGAACAAGAACAAGTTGATGAAACATGATCGGTTGACGAAGAGAACAAGATCTCTAAATTATTCAGATCGAAGGAGGAGCTGTGCCGACGGGGATCAGAGACAGTCAGAAGATCCTTATATTTTTAGTAGAAATAGATCACGATCACGAAGATTCAAATTATTCAGGATGAGCTGCAGCACTTTGATCCTATTCCTGGTTCATGAAAAGTGTGAGAAAAAGCTTAAGCGACGCCAAGATCAATTTGCTTATTACAAAGAGAATAGGATACTAACACGAACTCGAAGAACAAGAAAATCTTCTGATCTACTACTTAGGTAGTTACTCGTTCCTTCAAGAAGCGTTCCCCTTTCTGTGTGTTGATGGTAGATTGTAGTCCACCGTATTAGTCCACTCCCAGTGTGCGAAGAGATCACAGCTGCGTTTCCTCCAATCCATATTCATTCCAGAGGGGTGATTATTTATTGGAAAATATTACAACAACTTCGTTTTATCGCGAATTCTTAGACCGTAGTACTGTACAACTAGAACTAGCGCATATTATAATGAAATCAAGATATTATCCTCTACCTCTTCGTCTCCAAGTTTAGGCTTTTTCTTTCAGCCTACAGTTAGTACTTAGATACATCTTCAACATCTAGATTTATGAATAGCTACTAGGAGCAAGAGCATCTAGCTACAGCTACTTTGTGTTCATCATAATCTTCTTCATCACCAACACCATCAGCATTTAAGTATAAGTAATAGCTATAGCGGCCATATAGATCTTCCTATTTTTCAAGAACACCTCGGTCCTCGACATCTCGATCTTATTTTCTTGTTTTCCGACGGTCGTGCTCCTTGAAACCATGATGGAGGCGCTCGGGGGTGGGAATGGGACTAGTAGCTCGTCAAGGGTCTGGCGTCACCACCATGCAGTTGTTTCCAAAGGAGCCTCAATCGAAGACGAATATGATGCACTCGATGTAGAGGCAGGACAAGCGTTTGGTCGTGGAGCAGCTTCATCTAGTCGTAGCAGAAGGAGGTCTTACAAGAATTCTTCAACAACAAGTAGACCAGGTTCTCCTTGCAACAAGGTCCTTCAGGAGAAAGGTCGTCTACTTTCAACACATGTTGGAAGGGAAATAGGTAGAGCACGAAGTAGATGTCAACTTCAGCGCACGGCCTGGTCGAAGGTAGGCATGGAAAAGAACGACGGGCGGGGTGAAAAATTCTTGGCTGCGGCAGCAGGAGATCCAGAGGATAATGAGGATTTTCCGAACCTATCAGGGGACGATGATGCGCTCGTCCCCGCCGGCCTTCTCGTTGGGCAGGATGAAGACGTTGCATTATTGCAAGACAAAGTTGACCGCTCTTCTTCCGAAGATGAGCAACTGCTGAAAGGGGACAACAACTCGGATGAAGATCTGTCTGAGGAGGAAGATGACGAGGAGGAGGAGATTCTTCCGGTCAGCTTCTGGGGTACAGTGGCGAATCAGGTTCTTGCAGGACTGGGCACGGGGATTCTCACGCTACCCGTCGCAGTAGGCGCCAGTGGACTGCTTAACTACGTACAACCACTTTATTAATTTATTTTCCTCGTCTACTACTACTTCTAGATCATACTAGCCTCCACAAGCTTCGCCCGGCTTCAAGTTACTTTAGCACTTTCCTGCGGCCTCCCACGGGCTACAGCCGCTAGAGTAGAGACAGCCCGCGGGTGAGCTGTTGCACCCTACGAATTGACTACGACAAGAGCCGGGTGCCGGCGGTGGCCGACTCAGATGCGTCGACTCATGTGCAGGGGATTGCGCTGCCTTCGGTTTTTTTTTGAGATTGCCGGGGGGGTCATGCAAATTCTTAAGAATTTGCAAGACCCCCACGGCAGTCCAACAAAAAAACCAGAAGAGAGCCACCAGACACGCACAAGAATCCGCAAGCCCCAACGCACGCAAGCGCCTCGCGGTGGCGCCAG